AAAATATATATCTAGTCAATGTTTATCTGAGAACATTTGGTTTTTCACCCAAATTTTATCTACATAGCACATGGTAATTAAAAGTACCAGACTGGTGGAACTAACCTTATTGGATGTATAAGAGCCATACTTTGAGACCTATATGAATCTGGTGAGAGGGACTTAAAGGACAGTTTTTCCCATGTCCTCCAAGGTCGACTAAGTTCCAGGGGGCTATGGAACATCTCTCAAAATGTCCTGTAAATGTCGTAAGTCACATGTCCTCTTGTTCAGAGAGGCCATGGAGACCCCACCAGATGGACTTGAACCACTGCCCTCCAAGGTAGACTTGAACCAGCATCCAGTCCACAAGAGAAGGGTCAACTCAGAGGAAACATCTCATTCATGCTTCCAAGTGAAGCCAGACATGGTCGAGCAGGACCTTCCAGTCATGGTTGAGCAGGACTTTTGACTTATCTTCACATAGATGGAACTGGTAAAATAAAGGAGCCAGGGGCTCCTCCCAAGCCCATGTGACCCCTGAGGAACAGATCCTCAAATGACCTTAAGTATAAATATAAATCGATTTATTTTAGCCAACTGTATGGTCTTAAACACCCAAAAGGAAAGTATAATCAACGAGTAAAGTCATCAGTATATTTCTTTAAGAGTTCAAGGGATTACACTTCCCAGACATTAGGCTTAAGTCCATATAAAAAGTTATTTAGACAGTTATCTTTCATTGATGATTTTGTTCTGAATCAGAAAGTGCTGCTCAGATGTAAGTCTTCAAATCTTGGTCTTCAATATTGTAGCTAAGGGAGACAACCCACTATTGTTCTAAAATGATGGATAAAATTTGTTTTCTCCCCGTATCTAGAAGCCTTTGAGAGGGAACTGACACTGACACTCAAGTCCAGCCTTGGAAGACAAAAGAAAAATGAGGAGGACCCCAACAGAGGGATGCTTTGCAAGCCCTTGTCAAGAAATTCCAATGGACTCTAATGAACATTTGAAAATTGCCCTGTTCTGACTTTTCTCTAGTTCCCTGTTTAGAACTTGTAATGCTAATTACTGTTGCCTTTATTTCTTCACATCTCCTATTCACCAGTCAAGGACTTTCTTTTCCCCCTACAGATAAGAGTTATGCAATATGGGATATTCACCAGTCAAGGACTTTCTTTTCCCCCTAGATAAGAGTTATATAATTTGGGAGTCTTTTAGATAGACCCACTGAAGGGGTACTCCAGTTGCCTCACCCTGCATCCCTGTTCAGCATGGAAGAAGCCAGAGCAGTCTGTGTCCCTATTCCCTATTGGCAATTTGGGTAACAAAAGACTCCCAAGAAAAGTAGCCAGTTTCTTGGCTAAAATGCACAACGTCCTTGGGCCAGAGGCCAAAAATGTCAAAAATATTTGGGAGCTTTTATCCTATCCTTAAAAGATTTGAGTTACCTCTTCAAAGGGGGGAATGTTAGAGTAGCCAAAAGCCCCATAAAAATAAATAAATAAAAGAAGAAGAAAGAGTACATGAAGTTATCAGAAAAAAGTGATGGGGCGATATGGGAGGAGTTGGAGGGGAGGGAGTGGACATGGATTTGATCAAAACACCTTATATGCATGCATGAAATTTTCAATAATTTATTTTAAAAAAATTGTAATATGAGTGTTTTCCTGCATGTAAGTACATACAGTACCCACAGAGGCAAGAGGAGGGCATCAGATCCCCTGGAACTTATGGATGTTCACCATGTGGATGCTGTGAACCAAACCCAGGTCTCAGAAAGAACAGCCAGTGCTCTTAACCCCTGAGCCATCCCTTCAGATCCTTTTTTGTTTTTTTGAGTCACTATGTATCCCTGGCTGGCCTGGAACTCACTATATAGTCCAGACTAGCCAAGAACTCATAGAGATATGCCTGCTTCTGTCTCCCACTGGGATTAAAAGTGTGTGCTGCCATACATGGCTAGATGCTTTTTAACTGAGCTCTCTAGTAGATTCCTTCAGGTTCCCCCAAAGAGTTCTACAGACATTCCTAATGGTCCCATTGGCAAACAGGCTTCCAGCTTTTGTAAGTCATTAATTCCACTTCAGTCAGATGCTCATCACTACACTTCCAACATGATACACTTCTGAACTGTCTCAGTCTGTCCCAGGTCCTTATCACTATTACTAACTTAACAATCCCTTAGCATTTATAGAGTAACTAAAGGTTTTATAATTACTTATTCGAAGTGTGCCTTACACAGAAGGCTGGGCAGAAACTACTATTATGTACTCATAGGTAAAGAAGCTATAAAGACCACAAGTAGACAGCAATCCCAGGCATTGCTTACAGCTCCCCTCACCTCAATGATCCCTATGTGACCTGCATTCGAAATATTATTTCTTTGGTGAGGTCAAATCTCAACCAGGACTGCCATTCATAACAAGAAACAGAGGTATTCAAGCAAGGCCCCAAAAGTCATCCTGAAACCTCTGCAGAACATGAGGCAGACAGCTGTCTCACCATTTGTCACCACTCTAAGAATGCCAATTTAAAGCTCAGGCCTGACCCACTGACTGCCCAGAGCTAACTTGGGGCAGGCAGGATTCAAGGTGCCAAGCACCATAGGTCTAACCCTGGTTCTTTCTCTATGGGAACACCATAAAGCATAAACCACTTGTCTCCCTTACTACTTCTGAACTAGGCTCTTTTGAGGCTACAAATACTTCTCACTATATCAAAAGTAGCAAAGTGTCAACCCACAGGTTGAAGAAGAATTTGGTTTAAAGTACATAATGCCTCAAAAAATCAATGGGCTGGACTGAGAAAATCGCTCAGCAGTTAAGAGCAGTTACTGCTCTGGCAGAGGACCAGAGTTCAGTTCCCAGCACCCATGTCTGGTAGCTCACATTAGGTAGAATTACAGCTGCCTGTAACTCTATGGGATCAGAGACCCTCTTCTGGACTCTTTGGCACGTGCACTCAAATATGTACATAATACACACACACACACACACACACACACACACATACACACACACACTGAGTAAAAGTAAAATAAATTGTTTTGAAAAATCAACGGCTTTAGGGGACCAGCAAGATGGCTTAGCAGCTAATATTCAATCCCCATATAAAGGTAGAAGGAGAGCATTCCAAGAGGTTATCCTCTGTGTGTGATATGGATGGCAGAGTTAGAGAAGTGTAGCTTTCAGAAGATCGTGAGTGAATCCCAGATGTCCAGCCTTGAGCTACTTTGCTGTACTTAGGTGTGCCCAATTCTTCCCCTTGGAAGACAGTACTTGTTTTGGATTTTACAGGAGCCTACAGTTAAAAGACTTTTTTTGTCTTTTTGAGACACCACGGCTTAAAAGACTTTTAAAGAAACTGTGGCTGGGCGTGGTGGCGCACGCCTTTAATCCCAGCACTAGGGAGGCAGAGGCAGGGGGGTCTCTTTGGGTTTAAAGCCAGCCTGGGATCCACAGCGAGGTCCACGACAGCTGGGGCTACACGGGGAGCGTGTCTCCAAAAGACCCCCCCCCCAAAAGGAAACTGTGACCTTTTAAGAGTTGGGATTTTTTTAAGGACTGTGGGACTTTGAAGGTTGTGTTGTTTATGCTGTGATACTGTTAATATTATCTTGGGGACAAGATATGGAAAGGCTGTGATTTAATAGCGAGGTGTTTGTCTATCAAGTTGACATGGTGTCAATTGTGCTGGATAGCTTTAGTTGTCAACTTGACACACCTGGGTAGAGGGAGCCTCAATTAGGGAATTTCCTCTATTGGACCTGCCTGTGGCCAGGTCTGTGAGGTATTTTCTTGTTTGTCGAGTAATGTAAGAGGACCCAGGCCACTATGGGTGGTGCCACCCTTGGCCAAGTTGTTCTATATTGTATAAGAAAGCAGGCTGAGCATGGGCCAGGAGAACAAGCCAGTAAGCAGTGTTCCTCCATGGCCTGTGATCTAGCTCCTGCCTCTAGGTTCCTGCTCTGAATTGCTACCTTGGACTCCCTGCTAAGCTGTGACCCAGGAGATGTAAGCCAAATAAATCTTTTCCTCCCGAGTTGGTACTGGTCAGTGTTTTGTCACAGCTATTGAAAGCAAACTAAGACAGACCTTATTTTCTTAAAGCGGCCTTCTTTAATCATCTAGTCTCTCCTTATTCCCTTATTCTGCAATATTTTCCTTCAAATCATTTATCTGTAAACTATGAGCTCTTTTATTCACTGCTATATCTGAAACTATGTATGGTTCAATTAACATTAGTAAATATTCAGTAAATGAACAACTAAATGTTTTCAAAAAGACAATTTCATATAGCTATCTGAATCAAAACAGAGGAAACTACAGACCCAAAAAGCTGAGGACTAGGATTTCAGGGTCAAAGGAAATTAACCAAGTACAAGAACTGAACAGATGGCTCAGCAGTTAAGAGCAGTGGCTGCTCTGGCAGAGGACCTGGATTCAGTTCCCAACACCAATATGCTGGTTAAAAACTACCCATGCCTCCAATTACAGGGATCCAATGCCCTCTTCTGGCCTCTGTGGGTATTGAATACACATGGTACACTTACATACATGCAGGCAAATAAAGAAACAAAACTCATAAAGTAAAATAAAAAAATAAAATAAAGAAATTTTTAGAAAGAACCAAGTGTAACAGAAAATGTTTGAGTTTCTGTAACCAGATTTCTCTCAGTTCTAAGCTTAACTCTTCCAAATACTGCCTTCATTGCCTCTCTAAGCCTTAGTAATTTATAAAACAACAATTATCACAACCTACCTCCAAAGTTTCTATGAAAATAAATTTACATAAAGGTCAGTATACTGCCTAGTAATATAGTACACGCCATACAGAACTAATTTAACTTTTCTGATACTTCTAGCCTTCAAGAGGAACCTAAAACAACAACAGAAATTGCCTGATTTCTCTAAGTTCCACCCCCATCCTACTAAAGCAGTTGTCTGTAGTGCTGGTACCTCTACACTCACTGCCACCCGTCTATTCTTTTAACTGATTACCATTTTCTTTCACACCTTTCGTTGCTGTTGGCCTTCAAGTGCTGGTCTCTAGCCGTTAACGTGGCAGAGTTTCTCTCACTGCTTTAATTGTATCTACAGGGATTTAAAATCCAGATTGTGAAACTTGTAATACCACTTAAAAATAAGACCAAATTAGTACTACGAAAGGGCTTAAGGATAGTATTTTGCTTCCCTGTTTTTCAGTTGGGCTTAGGAAAAATGAGACTGTTAGATAAACTATTATACAAATGAATGCCTGTGTATTTCACACTTATCTACATGGAATCATTCATATTTTTAAGTAACAGTGAAACTATTTTACAGGGCAGTAAAATTAAGTTCCAAGCTTTGCACACAGGCCACGGGAAGACTAGCATCTATAGAACTTTAGGTGAGTAAGACAAAAAGAGGTAAGGGTGCCGGGCATGGTGATGCATACCTTTAAATCCCAGCACTTGGGAAGCAGAGGCAGGCAGATACCTGTGAGATCAAGGCCATCCTGGTCTACCTAGTGAGTTCTATGCCACCTGGGACTACAGGGAGACTCTGTCTGCAAAAAAATAAAGTAAAATAATAAAAATAATGTGAGAGTAAAATCCTGAAGATTCAGATTAGAGAGCTTGCCAATGTGGAATTCAAGAGCACCAGGAGGGCCCTGATTTCCTCTTTGCCCCATCAGGTAGAGAGGAAAGAACAAAATGGCTTACCTCACTGGCCAGGGGAGAAAACTGGAAAGGCCATGTTTCCAATAAGATATGCAAATACATATGCCTTTAAACCCAGCACTTGGGAGGCAGAGACAGGCAGATCTTTGTAAGTTCGAGACCAGCCTGATCTACATAGTGAGTTCCAGGTCAGCTGGGGGTACAGGGAGATGGTCTTAAAAAGACAAAAAAAAAAAAAAAAAGATATGCAACTACAATAGAAGTGCCCTTTGGTTAACAATGGGGGTGGGGGTTACAGCAAATATCAAACAGCCTTCTTCTGAGGCAGGAACAGGAAACAAAGCAGAATGTAGAACTAGTCGGGAAATGCTAAGACGGACTCTTGAAAACTGCTTTAATATCAACACCAGCAGAGACCAGCATTTAAACTTCAACTCTGCAGTTCACATACTGCACTATACTGCCAATGTTTAGTGGTTTTGTCATCTATACACTGAAATCCATTTCTGTATGGAAAAACCGGAGTTATGGGTAGGTCCTGCAAAAGGAGAGCATGGAGAGTTTACTACCGAATTCCCTAAGGAAAACCTCCCCCTTTTGCCTTTAGGGAGTTAGGTTGGCAAAATAGTGAGGAACTGGAGTGCTGTGGATAGTTGTAATGCTTTCCTCACATTCTTGTTCCATTTCATGATGCTTTACAATTCACAAAACCTTCTGACTTACATCATTTTAGCTGATTCTCTACAACATCACCACAAAAGACACAAAAGACACATGGCGGGGGTTGAGAATATAGCTTGGTATCGAGCATAATGCCCTGGGTTCAGTCCCTAGCAAGGACATACATACTATGATGACAAACACAGGATGCTGACAGGAGACAGGGATATGTGGCAGGGTAGCAGGGAGGTACTCCAATTTTACAAATAGGGGAATGTGCCTAAGGGCACATGGTGAGAAGTAAGATTAAAAACTCAGGATCCCCAACTTCAGCTCAGCTCTCCAGGTCCCTATCTTGTGTCAGCCTGTTTTTCTGAGATCTCTTTAGTTTCATGTATTTTCTTTCAGACAGTTAGTTGGGCCTCTGTCTGCTTCTCTGCTTCCAAGTTCTTTCTATATTCCATTCTTTGGTTCTCTCGATAGAAATACCACTGCTCAAAGGGACCCTCACTCCTACCTGCCCTGGTAGGCTCTTCAAAGAACTGAATACCTACAGAGGGCTGTCTTCTTAAACTTTCTACATAAAAGCAGTAGGATTTCAGGGAAATCAGTAAGCAGCTCATGGAAAAGTCTGTCAAGTCAGAAGAGCTACAATATTCACACTGACCTGGATTCTAAGATCAGCTTTCTGGGTTCCTAGGCATGAAGCCTAAGCACATTATTTCAGTTCTTACTATAGGATTTCCTTCCCCTTCTATCTGCACTGCCCCTGACAGCCCTGACAGCTCTACTCTATTGCTCCACATTTACCACTATTCATGATCACATTTTACGGAACTGAAAAAATTGTAAGAGTTCCTGAACCTGGGGGTGAAGAAATGGCTCTGCAGTTAAGAGCACTGGCTGCTCTTGCAGAGGATCCGGGTTCAGTTCCCAGCTAACAACTATCTGTAACTCCAGTTCCAGGGAATTTGATGCCCTCCTCTGGCCTCCACCATACTGTATGTATGTGGTACACTTATATACATGCAGCCAAAACACTCATACACATAAATTAAAATAAATACTTAAATTTTTTTATTTAAAAAAAAGGGGGGGGGGGTTGTTGCTGGTGCTAACCTGGGGCTTGGCAGGTCACAAGAGACTGAAGTTAAGAAAGTCCCTGAAGTGGCTGGGTGTGGTGGTGCATGCCTTTAATCCCAGCACTCAGGAGGCAAAGGTATCTACACTGGGAGTTCTAGGCCAGCTAGGGCTACAGGGACACCCTGACTCAACCAGAAAAAAGAAAGTTTCTGAGGTCCCAGAGATCATGTTAAACAAATGATCCCTAACATTCTTAGGGAAACTCCAAGAAAATGATCCCAACCCTTCCTGAAGGCCAGGAGGCTACCCAGGCCAGCACCCAATCTCCTATGCCTAGAGTAGAACAGTTTATTGTTAGGGCACCTGTACAAAGGCTGAAGTGAATCTCTAACCTAGCTACCCCTGTAGATTAGCCCAAGCTTACTCAAGTCTTCCCAGGTATCCTTACTCACCAGTACCAAGACTGAACTTATAGGCAGCTATTTCCTCGTTTAGGTTACAGGGTCAGCAGCAGCTGCCTCTAGAAACAGGGCTCACCTATAACAGAGAAGAAAAATCTGTCAAGGTCACACATTTTGCATCTTGCCTCATTATTAAATGCATCATTTCAGACCATGTTAAGTGCTACAAAGAACATTAAAGCAAAGTAATGAAATAAAAATGAGGAATAAGGGGGCTGGAGAGATGGCTCTGAGGTTAAGAACACTGGTTGTTCTTGCAGAAGAGCTGGGTTCAAATCCCAACACTCACATGGCAGCTAACAACTGTCAATAACTCCAGTCCTGGGGGATCCGACATCCTCTTCTGAACTCCACGGGCATTGCATGACACGGGTGCACTTACCGACATGCAGGCAATACACTCATACACATAAAATTTAAAAAAAAATTTTTTTTAAATAAGGAATAAGGTCAGGTGTGGTAGTTCACACCTTTGATCCCATCACTCAGGAGGCAGAAGCAGGCAGATCAAGGCTAACCTGGTCTCCATAGCAAGTTCTAGGCCAGCTACAGGGAGATATACAGGAAAAAATGGCCAGGGAAAGCCTTTCTAGAGGACACAGATAGAAGCCTGAATAAAGCAAGGTGTAAAGCATGCAAAACTCTGAGGAAAGCTACCTCAAAAATACAAGCAGTACGTGGAAAAGCCTGGAGGCAGTATTAGCAAGAACAAGTTCAGGGGGCTGCAGAGATGGCTTCATTTCCCAGAAGACATATGGCAGCTAACAACCATCCATAACTCCAGTTTCAGGGGAATCCTGCATCCTTTTCTGACCTCCATAGGCATTGCAGGCATGTAGTGCCCTGACATTCATGCAGGCAAAACACTCAAGACACATAAAGTAAAATTTTCTTGATGTAGGGTCTCCCTGCAGCCCCTCCTGGCATGGATCTCAAGAGTACTGCAATTAAAGGTGTGTACCACCATGTCCAGACCAAAATAATTTTTTAAATATTTCATTTATTATGTTTATGTGTATGAGTGTGTAGCCTGCATGAATGTAGGTGGTTTACTCTGTTTGCCACATTAATGCTGGTAATTGTGTAAGGTCAATGTTTTACTTTATTTTATACTTAAACTAATGGGAAAACTGAGACACGGAAAATCAAGTAAATTTGTCCCAACTCACAGTGCTAATACATAGCTGAGCTGGGAGTTGAATCCTGAAAGTCCAACTTCAGGGCTCACCTCTTAACCGTATACTAAACCAGTTCTCAAAAACAGAAGCAGGAAATATGTCTCTATTCTGATATGGCACAGACCTCCCTACCAGTAAGCATGATACCCTCTCCATTTACTTGCAGTCCAGGTTTTTTACAGAATACAAGTTGAATGACCCTGGAGTCTGTCAGCCAAGTAGTACCAGACTTCTGAACCTCTACTTACTGCTGTAATGGTAAAGCAATTAATAGCTAATAGCATTTACTGTACTTGAAAATAGACTAGGTACTAGGCTAAGCACCTTACATATACTAACTTATTTCAGAGAGGGAATGAGTTCTAAGACATGAGTGGTCTCCATGTCTGAATGACATTTCACATTCAAACCACCACCCAAGGCTTTTATTATATTGGACATTCTTTTTTTTTCCTAAAGACATCTTATTTTGGGGGTTGGAGAGATGGCTCAGTGGTTAGGAGCACTTGCTGCTCTTCCAGAGAGTTAAAGTTTAGTTCCCAACTCCAGCTCCAGGGGATCCAATGCCTTCCTCTGGCCTCCAGGGACACCTGCATACACATGGGCATTTAGTCACACAGACACATGCCCCAGCTGTCCTGGAACTCACTATGTAGACCAGGCTACATAGACCCAGGCTACGTAGACCCTTGAACTCACAGAGATCCACCTGCCTCTGCCTCCCGAGTGCTGGGATCAAAGGCGTGCGCCACCACACCCGGCAATAAAAATAATCTTTTAAAAGTATTTATTGTGGGGCTGGAGAGCTGGCTCAGCAGTTAAGAGTGCTGGCTGCTCTTGCAGAGGATCCAGATTCAGTTCCCAGGACCCACATGGCAGCTAACAACCATCTGAAACTCCAGTTCCAGGGGATCCAATGCCCTCTTCTGACCTCCAAAGACATTGCACGACACAGTGCACTTTGATACATGTAGGCAAAACACTCATACACATATATTCTGGAGCATTCCACCTAAGAATAGGGAACAGAGTCTACAAGAGTATAAGGAAACCAGGAATCTGTATCTGTAGGAAAGGGGAAAGTAAGTCAGGAAGCATAAGACGGGAAAATTACAGGAACAGTGGAGCCTGGACATGAAAGGTGGGAGAAACAAGCAGAAGGTCTAGTACAGAAAAAAGGGAGCACTTCCAGGTAGAAGACCAAGAACCTGACAGAAGCAATCATCTCCTGTATTTGTAGACAAGTTCTCAAAACAGAATGTTCTTACAGAACCTTTGGTCTTTACAGTAAGCAATTTCCAAGGTGCTGGGGGGTTATCTTCTTAAAGGAGAAGGACAAAGGACACTGGATTCTCTAGGCCTCTGGGGTAGCAACCAACAAGAGTGAACAGCCACAGTAGATGGTCATAGCCTAAGAGCTCAAAGTGCCCTCCAACAGGGCTCACCAGCTGGGATCCTCCCCTATCCACTTCTGCTACAAACAGTACTCCTGCATGAAAGACTGACACAGTCAACAGTCCTTTGTCCAGGGCCACACTTGCCAGTGGATTTGCTAGTTCTGTTCCAGCTGCCCTTAACTTCAGAGTTTCAAAACTGCCTCGGGCGTTTATTCCACACTCTACAAGTTCCACAAGACTTCTCCCATTCACAAGGACCTTGACTCTCAGTGACTAGAACAATAAAAGGAACAAGCTATGTTGCCTCAGGGTTTAACAAAAAGGCCTTACAAGAGAGTAAAAATGTAGCTAAGTCACAAAGTTGGTTCAGCAAACCCAATCCTACTTCCCAACAAAAACAGGTGGTCAAGATGTCTGGCTTATCAAGGAGGAGGCCCCAAGGGGAGCTGATAACTTAATGACAAGAGATAATAGGGCTCTAGAGCCCCACCCCATGTCCAACTATAAGAACATAATAGATGTCACAAAACCTGAAATTCAATCCAGGCAGTCTTCAGCCTGCCTGTAAGAATAGTCAAAGAATACAACAAATGTGCAATTCTTGCTTCTGTGTAAGCTTGGAACTAAAAGCATTTCTCCTTCCTCAGCTGAAATTATCTCCAGTCTCTTCGCCCCAACCCCCTTCCCTAAGAAACAACCCAGCAGAATTACCCAGGGAGGCATAAGTAATTACTGTTTTCTTTTCTCCACGCTAATGAGACAGTTGGATGCTTCCCCTTTCCCCTTCTAGAGCTGGAAGGAGAATTCAAGGCTTTATAATAATCAGTAACCAGCACACCAAAGCTTGGGTCAGACAGAGAAACTATGCAGAACATCTTTCTATCCCTGAAGAGCACAGAGCTCGAAGGGCCCAACCACTTGACAGGAACCAGAGCTAGAAGGGGATCTCTCCAAAATCACAAAGGAGGTCAGCAGCAAGGCCAGAATGGGTCTTAATCCCACCCAAGGTATTTTCCCCATCATCCAGACTTCCTGCAATGTAGAATGAGTTTCTGTTGCCCTAAATGTGGAAGCTTTGACTGCAAATTTCAAGTTCATGTTAGTTCTTGAATAGACTGTGACAATGCTTTACAAATGTGAACTCAAGCCAAGAAACCCAGGTCTGAGGTGGAAGGTCAGGATCTGGGAGATAATGATCATTTACCCTCAAAATCAACACCACAAGTGAATAAGCTGGGCAAAAATTAAAAAGAATACATACATTTTAGTTGGAATTCAGCTCATTTATATGAAGGGGAAACGATTATCCTTAAGGAACTTAAGGTCTGGTAAAGAGCTCCAGGTGCTAGAACCCTAGTCTGCTAGTTCCCCTTAGTTCACAGATGAAAAAAACTATTAGAAGCTTCAAAGGTGAAACAGAAAACTGAAAGATAACTACAGTTCAGAGTCAGTCGTGGTCAGTGAAACAGACAGACATGGTCTCTACAAAATAGCACCACCATTTGTGAAAACTGCTGAGGAAGAAAAAAATGGTTAGAACTTTTTAAGCTAGAATAATTTGTATAATCTAATAAGGCTTACTTTTTGGTTTCTTAGGGGGGGGGTACTATTTTTTAATTTTGAAGGTGGTTCCTTGCCTTTCCCTGGCTCTATCACTTCAGGTGGGATTCAGCATTTTAAACTGGGTTATCAAACTAATTATTTACTCTTCCCATCCCTAGAAGGCTTGGGCATGACCCTACCTCCCTACTGTCTGACACTAAACTGACTGCGGGGCTCTTGCAACCATTTAGGACATGGTCAACTGACTACCAGGCTTCACCTTTACCAAGCCTGGTGCTTTACTATATAAATGGGCCCTAGAATATTTGAAAGCCCCTGCTTTCATCAGCTGTAGGACCTAGGGTCTCTCCTACAAAAAACAGCTCTGAATCCAAGGCCAGGCTTCCCCCAATGGACAATCTCCAAAGGGAGTTACTTAACTAAGTTTTCCATTATTGTTCACTCCCTTCCCACTCTCCTGCAAGGAAGGGCAACAAAGTGCTTGAAAAAAATATATAAGTAAATCTCACTCTGAGTCCTGGTTTTGCCACCCAAACTGATGGCAGTGCTTTGATCATTCTTGTTCACTTGTAAGAAAGACTTTTACCTAAATTTGTAACCAAAATTAATCTTGTTTTGAGATCATTTAACACTATCTCAGCTTGTTTACAATGTAAACAAGTTTACTAGTCCATGTAACCAGAGCACAGAGCTTCAATCTCTCCTGACCTTTCCTTCTTGGCACAGTGAGTACACTGTGAAAATACAAAGCTCAAGAATATCTGCTGAAAGCTGATAGGTAGAGAATGGGCTGGAGCGAGCGGGCGGGGCAGATGGAGGAAGGCTTGAGCGGATGGATGAGGCTGAACCAGCGCAACCCAGATTTATTTCAGAAGAAGGGAAGGGAAGGGAAGAAGGGGAGGGGA